TTTAACTGTTGGCTTTCCTCTGACATTTTAGTAAATATTATGCAATTAATTTTTTTTTCTGTTTCCCTCAAAAGGACAGATATAAGAGAAACTTACTAGAAGTTTCCACACATAGTATCGAAACATGGGTGCAAAATATTTAGAAAATTATTTCCTTCCAATGCTAAATCAATAATAAAAATATTGTTTTGCAAACATTAATGGAAATGTTCAGTAGTATTTTGCTAAATATATGTTCAGAATATATCTGATCTCTGGTTTGTAGCCAAAACTCAAAGAAACAGTATTTGTCATGTTTATTTTCAGAGGTTTTTTTTATTTTTAATTGTTTCTTGAGGTTGACATAACTAAAGACAATTAAGTTTTCTCAAAAGTTAAATGTTTGGTTTGAATTTTTTCTTAAATAAAGAAACTTGCATTCAGAAAAAAATGTTAGCTTAAAAACTATCATTTTGGTTTCATAGTTGACTATATTCCTTTAAAATGAAAACAAAGATAGCTGTAAAGAAGAGAAAACAAAAGAAAATTAAAAAAAAAAAATCTATCTGGCTTATTGTATTTATTGATTCCCCTGTTGTTACTACTATATTTTACATCTCCACTTATGCAGAAAGTGACTTTTCAGCCAGTTCAACCATATTAGAATAGAGATTGAATTAGCCACTGAAAAAGTGGAGAGACCATAGAGAAGCCCATGACATTTTGTTGGAAAAAAATAATTGTATTCACATGTCTCCTTATATTTTCTATTAACTCCTTATGTTTACTAATTTGCATAACATTTTTGGACATAATAAATAACACTGTTATGTGAATAAATTAAATTATTTTAGCTTGAACATCTATCTGCTCATCTTGCTGTCAACAGATTACTGTTGGGTGATTCCTGTGCTGTTCAGGTGAGTCTGATAACAATAATACAGTGTTTGAAGACTTCTGGTAACTTTTATAATCAGATCTCTAGTTCACTTTTTTGACAAAAAGTAAGGAAGCCTCAACTCTTCTGTTGATATGCTTATGTCAGATACATGTTACTAACTAGCTTCCTAAAAAGGTCATTGATTTTTGAGTAGCTAGTGATGGGCCAAAAGAAAGTACTTGCTTTTTCCCAAATGTTTGATAAATCTAGGGAAACACTTTCAAATAATTTTACTTCTGTTAGAATAAAGGCAAACCAGTCTGAAACAACCTGGGGCAATGATGGGAGTTACTTGTCTCCAACATTCACAATTAGCATAGTAAGCAGCTCTGTAGCCCTTAACAGTAATTTTTGTAGTTACTCCAATAGGAGCAAATTATAAGAAGATGTTTGAAGGAGAAAAATGTAGAAAACTTCATTATTTTTTTTTCCTTACATCTTTGCATGATAGGTAGAATAAGATTTTTTTTTTTTTTAAAAACCACTATAGGAATATCTGATTTAAGGGCAATAGAATCACACTGGGCAATGAATGAGAGGAATGGAGGGTAGACTCTTGTTACAGACAGTAATGTAATTGATAAATAGTTTTGCCTGGGAACAGTATTACATGTGATTGAAGGACAAATGGTGGAAATGTGACACCTTGTAACAGTGAAGGAGTGAAAAATATCTGCATATACAGGGCTGGTAGCTGGTGCATATTGGCTTGATGATATGCAATGTGAGGATTTTGTTGATTTAGGTGCTTGTTTTATTCCCTGGGTTATTTAAGTCTGATTAGACAGTTCTTACCATCAACCTTTTCCCAGGAAGTCCTATGAAATATTACTATTTTTTTCATTGTTGTTGACATAGAATCTTGTACACACCTCCTTTCACAAAATTAATTTAAAAAACCCAATGAACCAAACAAAAAAATCAAACACCGTTTTTTTTTGCAACAGACTCTAAGAACTCACTGTTTCCTGAGGTTCCAGTGACTGCAATAGTTTTGATATGTTTCTGAACTTTTAAAAAATACAGAAGGTCTGTCATGTAAATCATTTGTAGGTTCCACATGAAATGCAATATTAGTGTATTTTCTCTTTGTTTTATGTGGTCCTGTGGCATTTTTGTCATAAGAACATAGAGAAAATTAATTCAGACTGAACAATACCAGAGTGTTGTTACTACATGTGGTTTACTACATCTTGAAAAGCTTCATTCAATTTCATGTGGCTAAGGCTTAGCAGATACTACTTTGGAAACAGGTATCAAATTTTACATTTTCTCCACTTTGAATTGCCTGAGAGTTTCACTTTACAGTTCGTCACTATTGTAAGGGTATAAGAAAGATATTGGGATAGTTCCCTTGATTCCTTTCTTCTCCCTTTTAATGAGATCTGATACTCATGACTTTTATCTTTTATTATATAGACTTACAATTGACTAAGCTGTTATGACTCACCTATAGCAGATAAGAGCATGGCGAGCATTGTGGACTATTCTGTGACTGCATTTAATACTAAGGACCATACCCAGTTGCTTTAATGATCCAGTTCCTAAAATAAATTAGATATGACAATGAATTGTGACTTCCTGAATGCTTTTTAATGGTTTGTCTGCATAGGTGACTGCATGTTCCTATGTCCACTTTCACCAGGCTGAAGTATCTGTACAGTAAAATGGTATATATTTGTACAATGAAATGCTATTTGCATGGTAATATCTGTAGTGCTGATTTTTTTTTTTTTTTTTTTTTTTGCTTTTCCTAAAATGTACTGGTAAATAAAACTCCAAAGATATGACAAGGGGTAAAACAAGTTTTCATTTATACTGTTTGTATAATAATTTTAGTAGTATTTTTATATATTTTATATACTTCCACAATATATACTACTGTTTTATTTAATAATGCATACAGGATTAAATTTTAAACATTAGGTTCAGATTCTGCTGAACAATTAAAAAATGACTTCCTTAAACGTAGTGATAGACAAGTATTTCAACATAATTATCCAGAAATAAGTACTGTGATGCAAATAAAAATAATAGAGTCTTATTTGAGGTTTGTTGATATGTTTAAGGAGAGAGGGAGTTGTATGTGATTGGGTGTTTTGGTTTTTTTTTTGTTTCTGGAAACAAAACAGAGATTCTTACTGAGTTATATGTAAAACTGTTGATTGGACCTGTTTAACCAAAATCTCGTTTTTAACAAAGAGGTAAAAACTAGTTTTATTACATTTTATCTTCTATCCTAATACATACTCAGTTAAATATATAGGGTGTCACTGACCTCAGTGTTGCTGCAGACAGAAAACAGTATTGGAAGAGTGCCTGTTGGCTATGAATATATCTAATGGATGAATTTTGTTTGTTTGTTTCTTCCTATTACGCGCTGTTGAAGGAAAAACACAGATTAGGAAGGAAGAAAAAATTAGGCCCCTTTCACTAGATAATCATAAAGATCCACTGTTTGTATGGCCTCTAAGACTTCTACAAAGCTTTGTAATGCTGATTATCTAATATTCTTAATATTCTGAATATTCTCAATATTATCAGAATTCTTTTCTATTAAGGAATATTAAAAAAAATCCTTAGTTAATGAAAGTATTATTGAGTGAAAAGAAGAAAAATACATAATCTTCACAGTTTCTTCATCAATTAAATAGTTTAACTTGATATCAAGTGAATAAAAATTTGGTCTCCATTGCACCAAAACAATTTGCATAATGGCACTATGTTCAGCTTTCAGCTACATTGGGTTTAATCACTCCATTAAGTAGCAGAAATACCTGATCAAATAAGAATGCGGCATTTCACTTTTCAAAGGACTAATATATTTTCAATATCTGTTGACTTTATGCCAGTACAAAGTTGAGACACAGAGGAGGGACTATATTTCACATGTGTTTCTTCCACAATAAATCAATACAGACCCTATGACATCCTGGTTTTGCTTTGAAATTATTTAATCTCAGCAATGTTTCAAAATTGTAGTGTTTGTTTACTAAATAGATGTGTAACCTAAAGATTGAAAGAAAAAAGAGACATCTTAAAATGTCTTGGGATCCCTAGTTTGTTTTGTGATAGCTGAAGTATGATTTCTGTTACAGTTGGCTAGCTGCTCAGGTTTCTTTTTACTAGACTTTTCCAAGCTATCAGAAAGCTCAGTAAATTGGGTGGGAGGTGTGCTAGTTTTACTGACAGTCTGTCAGCCTTCAGCCTGACAGCTTTAAAGGAGATTAGGTTACCCTCAGATGGCTGCAATACAACACACAGTAGTTTGTGATCAAATGATTTATCTTCGGAAAAGGATGTTGCTTAAGAATTACTGTTCAAACAACTGGTTTACACTTTATCCATTGCAGTTACAGATCACTTCTGATTATGCATTTATGATTCAAAAATAGACTCAGTTTTTTAAATTACTTCTATGTGTTTGGATGGATTAGTTGTACCAGCATGATTTTGGAATAGGGTAATTGAAGTTGAGACAAAGTAGTAGTTCACCTTTCCAGAAAAGTATATTATTAGTTCAGCTCAAAAATAAAAAAACAATTCTTTTAAACATGACAACTGTAGGAAGTAGCACTGTTGAGCAAGCAAATAGGTCTATAACTTGATCCTCTCCCCGTGAGCACAAGCACTTCAGACTATGTTAAATGTACGGAGAATACTGCAGCATAGAAGTTGGCTGTGCTGTCATCGGAGAAATTTCATGTTCTCATGAAGCCTGGCATTGATGGCCAGAACAGGGAGGCAAGCATCAACATAGTTGTAAAAACTGGTTTATTTCTTAAAAATAAATACAAAAATATAAATATAAAACATTGGCAGATAGAATTTGATGAAATGAAGTTGCACAACCTTTTTTTTAAACCAGCTGCATATTACACTTATTAACACCACGTGTACATTTTTTTTTTAAATTTTAATTTACAGAACAGGACATATTGGATTTTTTCTTCTTTGCCATCTTAAAAGCTGCACTTGCAAGGATAGGACATGTACCTAACAGAAGCGGCTTGTACATGAGGTTGCTTAAGGGATTATCACCCTGTTCAAATTTCTGAAAGTGAGATACTGTTTATTTTATTTACTAAAATGGACAACACTGAATTTCCATAGCTTTGGCTCTTGGAAGGTGATTAAATAAAATGCTGTATATATTCCAAGTGGCATTCTACTAGAAAGAATGAATGACATTAATGGACAAATTTAAACAAATTTTAAAAGGAAACCATTGTGCTGAGTGGCAGGAAAATTTTCCTGAATGTTAAATATTGTAGAGTGTAGAAGGTGTCTGTAAAATTACTTCCGCTTAAAGGAAACAAAAAGGTAGCCTACTGTAGGTTAAGAAGTGTCTTTATCACTTTCTCCTCCACCATACATTTCAGCAAGCTTATTAAACCGAGGGCCCCATTCTCGGAGGTAATCATAGTTTTGGTCTCCTTCGGTAGTACCCGACTCTAAGGAGCTCAAGGATTCAGCTATTGAATCATTTCCTTCATAGGCATAGGTTGCAAGTGAGTCATACGGCGGTGCAGAAGGATCAGTGTCGTGCTCCTTTAGCCTTTGGTTAATGAAATCTCGGACATCTGTGTTATCTGGTGCTGAAGGAGTCCTCCGTGGTACAAATAACGTTTCAGGGATAATGTCTCGTCGAAGCTTCTTATCTTCGATTGCTGCAGGATTCCTCAGTGTGCCAATATCAAAGGCTTGGGTGTCTTCCTCTCCACCGCCTTCATCATTATAACTCACAATGTTGTCTCTGATGTCCTCTTTAGAGAGGATCAAAGGCTCCTTCTTTCGTTGCCTCTTCAGAGCAGCAAACAGCACCACTATAACTTAGAGAGAGAAACAAAGAATGGGTAAAGATCTCAATTTAACGATTTCTTAGTAGCAAATCCACCAGGTACAAGAGCTTAACTTCAGCTACATTTCAACAATTCATTTCTGTCTGATAAATATCTGTACCTGTATTATGGTAGCACAGTAAGGTCTATATCAAAATGTGCTATTTTGCACACACATTTTGTGCTCTGAATACAGAACCGTGAGCTTGTCTACACGCTTCTTCTGTAACTTTAATGAGTTTTAAAATAGCCAGAAGATCTTTTCTCTTTTTTAAGCTCAAAGTATACTGTTAAAAACTGGTTTTCAGGGGAATTATGGGTCATTATCCACAAAGTGGATGTTTTACAAAATTTACTTTTTTTTTTATTGCAGCATAGAATCCTCTGGTTAGACAGTGCTTTACTATAGTAAAAATATTATTTACTGACATATTCTGTGTGAAATATATACTGCATGTTGACTTCAGATAGTTACTTGAATAAAAAGTTGCATTCTCTCAAAAAAACTTTATAATGAAAGACATGAAACTGTTTTTTGATTATGCTATTCTTCCACTCTGATCTTTTTTGGATAACTTAATGAAAGAACAAAAATGAGCTTCTGGTTGCACACTGATAGTTTTAACAGTCTGGGACTTGAATTCTTATTTACAATGTCCAATTCCCAGACAAGTGGGTTTTGCCTTTTTTTTTTGTTTGTGTTTTTTTTTTTTGTTTGGGTTTTTTGTTTTTGTTGTTGTTTTTGTTTTAAGTTGCAGTTAAATTCTTCTTGCAAAATCCGTGGTCATTAATTTTACCAGCCTGCTTAGTTTTGTAAAATGGGTCAGGCCTGAAGCATTTGCTCGCAGGGGGAAAGATGCATTTCTATTTCTTACCTAGCAGGATAACGATGCAGAGGAGAATGGCAACCAGTGCCCCTGTGCTGAGTCCAGCCGGGAGGAGCAAGGCCTCAGCGTTGCAGGACTGCATGTTCCCCCGGCTGTCGCAGGCACACACTCGAATGGTCAGCGTGCCAGTGCTGCTCTGGATTGGGTAGTCATTGTCCGATATCACCACTGGTAAAAGGTAAGTACTTATTTCATGTCGACTAAAGCCATTCCTTCTTGTCAAAATTCTGGCAGTGTTATCTAGATGGATTAAAATATACTGATGTGTATATGAATATAAAATGCATTGTTTGTAGTACATGCAAATCATAATATTGTACATCATTGGTAGCATTTTGAAATTGTCCCTGATATCATAGTGATATCTGTTCTAATGGCATTCTCATTTGATCAGAAATTGGTAGGTTTTTTATATATATCTGGTCTGCTCCTCTGTGCCACTGCACCACCTTTGAATGTGATTTGAAAAGAGGATTTCTCAAAGCCTAAAATGTTTTATAGATTAATGCATGTAGTGCATCACACAGTTCCAGTTCAGGGCTGAATCCCTGAAATGAAGTGGCCAACTGAGAAAAAATAACCTTCCACTTCACGCTGTTCAACAAGCACTCTATTCTGAAAGGTTCTTTCTATGGATCTTCTGTGACAGCACTCATGGGAATGCTGTCTGTAAACTCAGTATGAGATTTTCCACACCAAAACACTTTCAACATACTGTAGAACAATGAATTATGTACCTCAGCACATGGAGCAGATTTTTTGGGGTAAAAATCCTCTTAGGAATTCAGAAAATGTAAAAGTTGATAGGTATTCCTGCACAGTTTGAGAAGTGAATTTACTAAACTGTATTTGTAGTAGACAAATTTTACTTGTATTCAGTATAAGTCAACATCAAAAGCTGTTTACTGAGTGTCCAGAGGGAAGAAATGAATAACAGGGAGAAACTGTATCTTCCATTGTTAAGACCACAATACTAGAGTGTGAGACAACAGTAGAGTTTTTAGTCAAAAAGAGAGAAAATACAGATTTATTCTTCATTAGAAGGAAAATTTAATTTTCATCATATTTGTGGATCTCTTGAGATAAATGGTTAGCTATCTTGCCAGCCAACATCAGGCTGAATTAATATAACTCATGCAAAGAGAAAGAAAATAAGAAATAGCAAGGTCTATACATCTATACATTCGAGACCTAGTTGCCAGGATATAATCTTTGTTTTAAATATTAAATTATGTGTTTTTTCATAGCCTCCATGATGTGAAACACGAAGTTTTCCTTTTTTGCATCCATTCATTAGTTTTGTATTTGTATGCTATTTTTTCCACTCAACATTAAAAAACTGTGTCTGACAGATCTCTAAATACCTCTGCTGCTGAGGATTTTATAAGGCACTAAAAAAAATTTATTTCAATTCTTCAGTTTCCCTACTGTTAGAATTTTTTTCTTCTGTTGCTTGCAGCCTATTACTTCTTGAAATCTTCACCAGGAAAAGAGGAATATTCCCATTGCCTTTATGCCTTTAACACATTTCAAGGCTGATACCATATGCCCCCCAATTTATTTCTTCTGTGATCTAGAGCCCTCTCAGTTAGTCATACTGATAATGAAGGCTGAAATGGGTGCGTAGTCCCCCTTCCCCAAAAGCATCTTCTGAAAATTTTAACTGATAAAGAAAGATTGACAAAAGATGAAAGAAAGACCAAAGTGGCTGTGCACTCAGAACCATTATTTTCATTAATGGTCAGAAAGAGGCAAAACCAGAAGATCAGGGGAATCAAAACTATGTTACAGAAGGCTAAATTGGAAGATCTGACCTTGTCAGCTGAAACTATTTTTGAAACCCTTTTTTATCCTTCAGTCAAGTATTTAATCTGGCTAGTCACCCTAAACCAACATTTTTACTGATTTTCTTTATACTTTACCACATTTTTGTCATGCTAATTTTTTTTTACACGTTTAAAAATGTAGAAGTCCTAAACCAGAAACACTCAGGTAAAATTATTATTCTTGCTAGCAGCAGTCTTAACAGCTTCTCTACATATTGATAGACATCAAAAGTAAATATATTTCAGGAATGTGTGTAAGGCAACAAAGTTAAAACTCCTTCCCTGGAACAAGGATGAATTTTACCTTCATTATCCTGAACAGTGAAGTTAGGGTTCACAGCAGCTAAACTGAAGAAAAATTTTTGTCCACCAAGAGGGTCATCTTTGTCTACTGCACTTATGGTTTGAATAAGCTGCAGGAAAAAAAGCAAGTAAACAACAACAAAAAACCAAATACAGATAGGTTTTTTATACAGCTGCCTGGTTACTTTAAGAAGACTAGAAATGTTAAAAGACAACTTCAAATCAACGCCTAAGACAGGAATTCACAGGATGTTTTAGATTTTTGTGATAAAAATAGTATTTTATCAAATAGATGTTTCTGATAGAGAAGTTAAAATTTCAAATTAAATTTCAAAATACAAACATTTGATTCTAAAACAAGATTTTTCCATTTATTAGTATAGCAAAATACACCAGTAAGATTACTGAGATGAAAAATCCAAGTTAGATCTTATATATATTTCAACTCTTGTAAAACATTGTAGCATTCCCTACAGACGCATCACCTCAGAGTGGGATGAGAATCTGGTGTCACAATTCTCAGAGTAAGTTGTGTCAGATCAGTGCAGTGCTTGGATTGAGTGTGTTCTGCAATGCCAACAAAAAGCTTGGGTATTTCTGGAGGAAGTAATGGCAAGCCTTTTATCAACCTTTGTTTATCTGTCAGGTAAATGAATGTGTGGCTTTTTTTTTCACTGAAGTTTCTATACCTAAGGGTGACAAAATGTCATTTCCCAAACAAAATACAATTTTTGACATTTATTGCTTTATTTCAGAGTGGGTTTGTTTATACCATAGCAATAAAAACTGTACTTGTGGCTGAGTTTTTGTGCATGCATGCGTGAATTTCAGTTATGTTCTTAAGTTTAACTTCCAAAAATAGGTTAATCTTTAGCCTAGGTCATTTTTATTCCTCATTTCTGATCCATCATTTTAAATTGCAGTGTTTTTTCAAGCATGGAATTACATCTAATTTTTGACACTACTCCTTCCCTGTGGCATACTTGTTAAACCCTGTTTGTTTTTCCTCTTCCAGTTCTTAAAAAATACAGCCATTTTTCCTCATATCACATCTTTTGTCAGGACTGATCATCTTTAACATCAACAATTGCAGTGTACTCCTGTTTGCCTTAACAAACGCATGATTAACTCCCAACTTTTTTCTTGTCCATCCAAAATACAGCAACAAATTTAGTTGCAGCAAGGACTGGCTTTCTTTTAATATGGCAACTTGCTTGCTTTCTCAACTGCAGTTTTGTCTTTGTCTAAATTTGTTTTCTTACATAAACCTCCAATAACTTACTAGATGAACAAAGTAGATAACACAGGCATAGAATATTATTTGTTTTCGAAGACTGAACTTTCTAATTATTTAGTGAATAATTAGCAAATAAAACCTCAGAGATTTTTGCAAAATTAAGTCAAGAAAACACTAGTCCATTTTACTTCACAACTGGAAACCATGGATGCAGTCAGTTGTTGGTGTTAAGCTGATGAAAATCAACTCCTCCAGTTCTGAGTGTCTATACTCATAGTTTAATAGGAGTATGTTCAATTTTTTATAGCCTAAAATCTTTTATGGTTTACAGGGATTATTCACCTATGATGGCACTGCCAAAGTGTCCCTTATCAGAACAACAGACAGCAAGAAAACATCTCTTATTAATTCCCCCATCCATCATTTATTGTACCAATTGAAGTTCTCTGGGAACTTCTCTGTTCCAATACTGATTATGCTTAACCTTATGAAATATTTTGCAAGCAAATTCAGCTAATTTGCTTACATTAGGGACTAAAAAAAACTTGCTTGTGGTGTTTTTTTTTTTTGTTGTTTTTTTTTGTTTGTTGCAAGCATCATTTAGATATTAAAATGTAAGGATAATTCAAAAAAAGCAAACATTTGGCTCACTAAATATTATGCAGTTTCAAGTTACTTGCTGATACATTTTTTTAAAAGGTGAAGATTTAAGGATGATCGTAGTGAAACCGTGTTTAGATATGTTGTCGCATTTATAGTATCTCTAAATTAAATTGTAAAATACATCACAAATAGAAGCATTATTTGCTTTGCTATTCTCAATTAGAACCTAAAGTTTTAAAATATTTATGAATGTTTTTTGCAAATGAGGATATTACTGGAAATTCACACTGGAAGTTCATTACTAGCTCCTTTTCAAATGAGGCTATGTACACATTTCAGTACAGCAAATACTCCTCATCTCCTGTATGAGCCTGGAAAGTTCTCCTTGCGGGATCACTGGTGCATGTGAGTTCCTCCTGTATGTCATCACAAGGAAAATACTATTCACCAGGTCTGGAGCTCAGTGTGGATGAAGTTTTAGAGTTGACCTTTGGTTTTTGGAATGAGCAGCATCTGCCTTTTAACTTTTTTAAGCACTGGATGATCTCTTGTGCCCTTTCAAGGCCTGTATGTGAAGCTTCAGAAAACGCATGAACACAATATACAAATGAGCAAGGGGGAAAGCAGATTCCTCCTACATTGCTGGGAAGCAATAGAGGTAGAGATGCAGGCTATAGTCAATGTTTTGGTGATTTCTTTACTTGCCTACTCCATCTCTCTTGCAGACAAATACAGCAGCACCACAGGTTTGGATGTCCTGAATAGGACATATTTGACTTCCTGATAGTTGACTTGAGTAAAAAGAGTTATCACAACTTGTATTTGAGAGTAGGTTGAGGTCTGGAACCCCTTTCAGCTGCATTCCTTTTTTTTTTTTTTAATTATTTTTTTTTTGGTCAAAATAGCTCTGTTGTATTTGTTTCTTCTGCTCTCCTCTACCTCACCAGTTGTGATCAAAATGAAGGTGAGGAGACAGTGAGAATCCCAGTGTGGCACAGGGAATTTTACAGTCACAATTTTTTTCAGACTAGCCATTTGGACTCTAACAGTTCTGTCCCTTCATCAAGACTTGTCTAATCAAGACTTAGGTTGGAGTCAGACCTTTCCATCCCATGGTATTTGTATTGGACAGTTCTTTGTGTTTGACTCCTCCTTTTGTTCCCTAGTGCAAGCAACCTCAGCATGTGACAGAAAGTGTTTCCTAAGACTGATACACTGTATTATCTTCCAGACTTTCAGTGTAACAAGATTGCTGCCCCATGTCTTGTTCCTCCAGCATTCCAGTCTCACCCATCTTGGGGCACCTTATCAATCTTATGAAAGTGGGTCTTTCTTTTTAAAGAATTTTTTAATTATTTTACAAATCTAACGACTTTAAGCATATTCTGTCACTGTCTGACAGGTAAATCCAATGACTACAGTTTTTATCTGGTTATTATCCAGTTGTTTGTGGGCACAGAAGTGATAGGAGTAAATAAGATTGTAACTAACTGTGGAAGCTGTGTTGCAGAAGCTTTCCCTTTTGTGCAGTTGCTAGGCAGCCACTTGCAATACTGTCTGTGTTTCACCAAACCTGGACTTGTTCTTCAGGCTTCAAGGACTGATAAAGTCTTCAGAATACTAATTTTTAGTCACTGCTTGCCTGACTCTGAACCTGATGGCAGGGTAACTACTTAGAGTCTCTTAAGAGCATTTCTTACTGGATACACCTCTTTGTTTTTAGTCAACATGTACATAAGAAGCCTTTTTCCTCTCTCACTAGCTTTTGAATATAAACTTACAACTGAGAAGAATTGAAATTGCAGAGTAAACTCTGACTTATGGGTCATTGCTACTCTTAATATACATTTTTGTTATTTTGTAGTGAAACTGAATAATACTGAACCATTAAAGTGTTTAGTCCACAGTTTCTTATATTTGTCAATACCATTTTGTACTGTTTTTTTAAAAAATGCAATTAAACAAGCAGCAGTAACAATCCAGGAAAGAAGTACTTAAGTCTATTAGAAAATCCTGTTTAGTTATAAGGGACCCAATGAAGGAGAAAGTAAATATGATCAACTTCTACTATCGCCCTGCCTTTCCATGTGAAACTAATTTAACAAACTAGACTTTCAGAAATAAGGTGACAGACTCCCAGGAAAGAGCTATTTGTCTGAAGAAGCCTAGAAGTTATCGATACTATTCCGAAACCAGAAAACTGAGAAGTCTCTTGTTTCCCTGGAATTGTAATAAAATTATTCTCTATAGCCTTTATAGCTAAAGCAGCTGTATTGGTAATTGTGAGGACACAAAATAGTAGTTATAAATTAAGGGGGCTCTTGCATGGCATAACATATACTGGTATGTTTATGGTACTTGCACAAACTTATTTAATATTGGAGTTTTGATGAGAGGCAAGCCTGGTTAGTATTCCATTGCTCCAGGCATTGTGTTCAAATACATAAGTTAGTGTTAGTCCTTCTTTGTTCTATTTGACTCCCATGGGACTAGGCAAGGGGAGTGCTTTTTGGTTTACATTTTAAAAACCCAAAAAATAAACAGAAGTTGAGAGCATTATATTGCATTTTTTGCATACTGTTTCCTGGTGGTATTGGTAACTATATTAATGTGATATGTCCAGTTTTACACATGACTTCATACAGTGTTGTTTTCCTCTTAGACCAATCAACAGTGAGACACCCCCATTACACCCACAGAAAGTTGCTTCTCCTTACTAGCAATGCCACAAAGCAGTAACTGCAGGGAAACCAAGGATGTTACCGTATCTGAAAACAGCCAGGAAGGTAAGGGCCCAAAAGTAGTCAAAGAGGATTGTTAGCCACTAATAACTGATGAAACAGTAGAAACAAGTTTGCTGTGTAGGCTGCTGCTTCCAATACAATTCACCTTTGTGCTTAGCAGATCCTCTCTGAGCATCAATTCTATCCACTGTGTAAGGAAATGGTTATTTTTTTCTTAAGCACACTTTATATTTGCTTTTAAATTGTGTACAAAGAACAGAAAATATAATGTACTATTAAGGAAAAAAAACCCAACCTACAACTATTTAGAAACTCTATATCGATTTGCAGTAAAACAAAGTTAAACTTTGAGAGTTTTTGAAAAAAAGTAAAGCAAGAAGAAAATTCTGATATTACTAAAAACAACAGAAGATAAGATCTGTGGAAATATATTGAAGTGTCCTGGTTTCAGCTGGGATAGAGTTAATTTTCCTTTTAGTAACTAGAATAGTGCTGTGTTTTGGTTTCAGTGTGTGATTTGGTATGAGAAGAAAGTTGATAATATACTGATGTTTTTGGTTATTGCTAGGAAAAGAACAAGGACTTCCCAACTCCCCATGTTTTGCTAGTCTGTAGGCACAGAAGAAACTGGTGGGAAGAGAGGGGCACATAGTAAATCAGCAGACCCAGATTGTCATTTGGATATGCTAGTGGGATATTCCATATCATATGAAGTCATGTTCAGAATATAAATAAGAGCTGGCTGAGAAGAGGGGTTCTTGCTCTTCCAGGATTGCAGTTTCGGGTTCGGGGTTCTCTTTCACTTTTCTGGGATTGCTGTCAGTGGTTGGTGAGCGATTGTACTGTGCATCACTTGTATAGATTTTATCATTATTATTTTATTTTATTCCAATTATTAAATTGTTCTTATCTCAACTTAAGAGTCTCCTTATCTTTACCCCTCCAATTGTCTCTCCTATTCCCTGGGAGGTGGGGGGTGAGTGAACAGCTATGTGGTGTTTGGCTGCCAGGCAAGTTAAACTATTACATGAAGGAACTAAAGTAAAAATAAATCTAAAGAGATGGAAAAGGAAGAGGAAAAAATAAAATCAAGTAAATTTACCAGAAATTGAAGTATGACCAAAAAAAAAAAAAAAAGAGGGAGAGATGGAAAAGGAAGAGGAAAAAATAAAATCAAGTAAATTTACCAGAAATTGAAGTATGAAAAAAAAAAAAAAAAAAAGATAAAATAACACTTGAGAATCAAAGGATATAAGAAAGTTCTATAAAAACATGTAAAAAACAAGAAGGAAGCTTGAGTGCTAGAAAATGGAACTACAAGGAATTTAGTTTTTTAATAGATATATATTTTTAGTTATTTTTTCAATAAAATGAATTGTGATTAGAGAAACACCTGGTGAATATAATAAGGAAATTGCTGGAAATATAAAAATACAAAAGTCATGTTTAAGCAAGGTTGTGGTAAGGAAAAAAAAATCTCTGTTAAAGCTTTTTATATGGGTCAAATGAGTTTGTAAGAGGAACAACATAAAAAGAATTGATTCAAAAAACCTAGTGTGCTTATATAATCTGTGCAGAATTAAGATATATATATATATATAAAAGAACTCATTCATATCTTAAAATGTCATTGAAAGAGACTCTATGATGAGCTAGACCTATTCGTGTAACACTGGGACATATGAAACGAATGGGCATGTATATATTTGGTAAAACAAAGGCTAATAACAGCAAGATTGAATCAAACATGCTTGGAGACCCAAACAGATGGAAATTCAACTTTCCTTATTACTTTTGGGGTGTTGGTAAGTAATTGGTAACTGATCTCCCTGTCTTTCTCTCAACCCATTTTATCAACTCATGCCTTCTTTCCTTTTGGCAAGTGATTTGCAGAGGGAGAAGAGGAGCCCCTTTTCTGACCATTACTATAGGAAAAGTGAATATGTAGAAAAAATATACTCAGCTTCAATATAAAATCTCTCTAAAGTAAGACCGGCTCCTGTTTTCTACGCTGATTCCTGTCTTTTATATTAGAGGATCTTTAGAGGCTGGCTGCTGAGCTACCGGATGCATGGCAGCTGGGAGATGACAAAATCAGTGGGATTCCATCTGTCCAGATGCCCAGCTCCTGGCTCTTCTCACCTGGGGGCGAAGGATGGCTGAACTTCTTTGTGTACAGGGCTGTAGCTTCTGAGGATTTTGCTCCTTTCTTCTCAGCTCCTACTGAGTCAGCCTTGTGTAGCTGACATGAATGCCTGTCTCCCCTTTCTGCAGTCACACCAACATTGTCCTTGTTTTTGAGTAAGTGTAAAGAACAACAACCATCAGAATGGCATTCTGCCACAGGTGCTTCTTGTTTGGAGCTTGAATTTTTTGGAATAGGGTATTCCCATTGTTTGGAAGGTCATAGTGTGATCTGATGTCAGCAGTAACAGCAAGCAGGACCACACTCACTGGCCCTCCGAGTCACTCAAAATCCAAAAATCACATTTCATAAAAAGCACTCTCCCTCTCTCTCTCTCTCAATATATATGCATATCTGTGTGTATATACAAGTACACATATCCATATATAGTGCGTGTTTCTATATATCTTAGAATCATAGAATGGTTGGATTGGAAGGGACCATAAAGATCATCTAGTTCCAATCCCCCTGCCAGCTACCGGATGCATGGCAGCTGGGAGATGACAAAATCAGTGGGATTCCATCTGTCCAGATGCCCAGCTCCTGGCTCTTCTCACCTGGGGGCGAAGGATGGCTGAACTTCTTTGTGTACAGGGCTGTAGCTTCTGAGGATTTTGCTCCTTTCTTCTCAGCTCCTACTGAGTCAGCCTTGTGTAGCTGACATGAATGCCTGTCTCCCCTTTCTGCAGTCACACCAACATTGTCCTTGTTTTTGAGTAAGTGTAAAGAACAACAACCATCAGAATGGCATTCTGCCACAGGTGCTTCTTGTTTGGAGCTTGAATTTTTTGGAATAGGGTATTCCCCATTGTTTGGAAGGTCATAATTTGATCTGATGTCAGCAAGCAGGACCACACTCACTGGCCCGCTGAGTCACTCAAAATCCAAAAATCACATTTCATAAAAAGCACTCTCCCTCTCTCTCTCTCTCTATATATATATGCATTTCTGTGTGTATATACAAGTACACACATCCATATATAGTGTGTGTTTCTATATATGTAAATTATATATAAAATATATGGGCTTCTATGTAAATTAAGTAAATGGAAGTTTTAAGGAAAAATAAAAAACCTGGAAAATTATAATATTCATTAAAATGTTTGTCAGTAGGAGACAGAAAATATTTAATGAATCCCACAGAATTCGTGACTGAAGTATCATAACAGTTTCAGTGATCTAATGGTAGACCTAAATTTGATCATAGATCAAACATAATTTTGAAAACCTGATCAGCAAGAAAAATAGCGTTAATGGGGGAGGAATAAAACTTGGAGAACCATGTTCAATAAGGATTGATTAGATTTGATCTCTCAGGACAGACCGAATTCCAAAATAACAAGTTTTATTTATGATCTACCAGTAAGCAAGAATATAACTGCATTCAAATAGATTATTCGAGGAATAAAACTTGGAGAACCATGTTCAATAGGGTTTGATTAGATTCGATCTCTCAGAACAGACCGAATTCCAAAATACAAATTTTATTTATGATCTACCAGTAAGCAAGAAGAATATAATTGCATTCAAATAGATTATTTATGTTATCCTGCATTGCATTTTTTTATCTTCCTGTGAATTTTTTTCTTTAAACAATCATTTGCAGCTCAGCTTTTTTAAAAAAATGTTTATAGCCCTTTTAGTAAACTTGGCATTCTTTTTCTTATAAAGCTCATTCTTATAATGAGCTCTATTAATCTAAATAAACATTTATGGATATGTACACATATTTAGCTTCTCATTTATTACTCATAAATTATTAGTGTGGGTTTTTTTCAACTTTTTAACTGACAGACTTTTCAGGAAGTAAACAGAAAACCGGTGTAATGCAGAAGTAACTTTTATATTCACGCTTAAATTATACTGACCTCAGTATTCTAGATAGCTCAGAATTTGAGTCCTTCAAAATATGATTACATGAAAATAAAACAGAACAGATTCTAAAACCTCAAACATTTGTGGATTAATGCATTTAGATTTTATTTTTTTTTTTTTTACCTAGGATTTTTTTGTGAAACTGGAAGAGGAAAATTCAGTGCTCTGTTTTTCCAGTTTGTAATCCATATGTCATATGTGTCATATTGAAAATGATTAAGAATTATTTTAACATTTATAGAAGACACTGCAGCTGTCAACAATTCTAGATGTTTAGCCAGTGATTTCTGTTTTTCTAACATCTTGAATTACCTTACAACTCTTGTAGAAGACAAATGCCCTTACTCAGTACCTTTAGATATTTTATTCATTATAAATTTAGGCCTTAAATCCTCTGTTCTAATTTCCAGCAGATGTTACTTCAGAAAGAAGAATGGCAACCTGAATGTGAAACTTGTAATACAACCTGAATGCCATACTTGTAGGACTCAAACAGTTAAGACAAGCTGGCACTTCTCCCATTTTCTGTTCAAAGATGCTAAAATGACTGCACTGAGGTAGTACTGCTACCATTTTAAAGGATTTATTATTGGCTGACTGTGCTCTGGGACATGCTGTGCTGTAATAGGAAAACAGTTTTTTAACAGTTCAAATAAGTGGCTACCTATTAAGAACTAGATATTAAGCAGTGCAGTAATTTCACTTAAATTGAAGTACACATTCTGTAGCTTCTAAAAGGCAAAACAAAATATTATGTTACCAGTTTAAAAAAAAAAAAAAAGTTTTGTATTTTCTTTTCAAGAAATTTTGGTACAATGATAAAAGACAAGTCTAACAATTGCAAAAAAAAGATGATGTCTGTAATCACCATCAGCATGGGTTGAAATATATCTGAAATGTGCTATTTAAGAGTTATTGAAAATATAGATAAAACTTTTTGATAGTTAATATAACATTTTACTTTGTGAAGATAACAGCAAAATTAATTATGACCATGTCTCTTGGACATATCTAGTCAGGATTTAAGAGCAGTGCATCGTTATATAACGAAAAGTGGTAATTTACACACTGATGATGTAATATATGGATACATCACTCTAAGCTTCACCTACAGAGCTACTTTGCTTTCATTTCTAACATTTCAAAAGCTATTTCAGACATTATTTCTCCCAAGCAACAGCTAAGAATGATCTACAGTTGAGTATGGTAGCAAAACTGGATAGTGGGAAGTGTTTGTCAAAGGCATACCTGTCCAGCTCTTGCATTTTCACATACAAAAGTATCATAGAATACAGCAAACTGTGGGGCATTGTCATTAACATCCAAAATTCTTACATAGACAGGAACGCGAGTAGTATCTTTGGGGTTGTCTGACAGGAGAAGAGAGAAAAATGATGAGTTAATTTTCCTACCAAAAGTTTTCCGATTTCTTCCAAATTTCATAAGCAATAAACATGCAAGTTTAGGTATAAAACTGGTCAAAATTTAACATTCAAACTGACACCAGGTAAGAATCAAGCCTCCTGATAAATAGGGATATGTTTTGCTTAGCATAAAAAAATCAATTAGTACATAGGTATCTAGTGAGCAATTAAGCTTTTACATGAAAATAGGGGTTTCAACTCTTAATAATGTATGGAAATATAGAATATGAAAAGTACATCCATTACTATAATGACAAATTTGATTATTTTGTGGGCTCAATAGTATTATTCTGCTGTAAAGTTTTGATTTTTAATTTTACAATTGTGATCTCACAGAAAATATATTGTTGACTTTGTGCATACATAGTCTGAAAATTTTTCAATTATGACTTTCCCCTCTTGGAGGAGAGCAAATGAAAACAGAGCCAAGTGGTATACTCCAAGTATCCCCCAAAACATACCTCAAAAAATCTGGTCAAGAACTGGCTAGAATCAGAGTTTTTAGATTTTCAGACCTTAGGTTAAGAAACACGAATAGTAATATCCCTGTTGCCAAATGCCAAAACCCTAGTATTATTTGAAGTGCCATCTCTTTAGTATAGGTTAATTCAGGAAAACAAGTGTCTCTATTACCACTTGCGGATCTAGTTGCCATAACAAAAATCTGCAATAATGCCTGGGAATAAAGAAGTGCAGCCATTTCTTGGGATTCTGCTGGATGGTAGCCAAATACTATATGATTTTGCAACTTTAATGGAATGGGATAAGTAATAATAGAGATGAATTAAAAATTACCCTGTGGGTTCAACCCCCACTACTCTTTTAAGCTGATTTAAATGAAACAGTAAACATTTAGGAGTAGTTGGCATTAAATTCACTTGTTCTTAATAACTCCTTTGCTAAAGAGTGTGATATGGATCTTTTTTGACATTCAGAATTGTTTAAAATGGCAGGTTTAGGGCACCATTTTTCATACTAACTTTGCATTTTTCTACTAACTTTCCAAATGTGTTCTATTCTTAACACTGCTTTCTCATTGTGTCATGCTTCACGGGTAATATTTTTAAAGATTTAAAGACCTAAATCTCCCCTTCACTTCTTTCTCCAAAACTAACATTCTCTTTGGAGAATGCTAGCTACTCCAGCTAGGCAGAGAATGTAAATTTGCTCAAAGTATCCTGATGAGGAAATAAGTTTAGAATTATGATATAAGCATACAAGGATACTAAGCTTTTTCATTATATAAATACTTTTGAAAAGTATTCTTACAACACTAGACAGCACTGTCAAGGCTTGTAAGCTCAGGACCAAGCTTTGCAAGAGAAAAAATAAAAAGGTTTTTTTTTTAAAAAAGGACAGCTACCGGATGTGCTCAATTCAATCAGCCTATTGCTCTGGACTTCAGAAATGAGGACAGGCAGGCTAAGAATGGTTAATTGGCTGAACACGACGTTCCATTTAGTTCTCTGTAGTGTAGTTCTTGCCAGCCATCCTCCAGCAGTAATCGGCAATTTTTTTCGGGGTTTTTTTTTTAAGTGATGTAGAATTAACCCTAAATAAAGTGTCTTTGGAAGCAAGTGGTCCTCACTAGCTGATTTAAAAGAACAGACCTTTTTCCTTTAGAAAATTTTCTATCATGTGATTAGAGTTAATCTCAATAATGTAGCAGGTTTAGGAGGATCTCTGCTTTTGTCTTTTTGCTTTTAACATGAAAATACCTACAGAGCAATGATTTAAACAATCCAAGAGATGCTACAGCTTAGGGATCAAACTGAACCTAACTTGTAAATGTGTTGATTCCAAGAGCTGTAGGTGTAGATACCATAGGAAGAGATAATGAAATTATTTCTAAGGAAATGAAGAAAACGATAGAGCCAAAAGCATAGATTCTCATCCTGAACTCTGCTACTTTAACAGCAACATCCTGTCATTGTCCTCAAAGAAAAGGAAGAAAACAGAATTACTCCAGTGTTGTTATTTAATCGGGTAACGTTTCAGAAGGAACTTGGACATTTAAGGTCGGTGGTGGAAGTAGATGAGGAAAAAAGCAATGAAGAGGCAGCTTCTGTTAGCTACCCCAATTACTTTCCCAGAATTTCTAATAGAAGAGGGTGGAGGGAAAGAAAGGAAGGTTTTTTCTCATGAAGTCACAGCTGTAACTTTGCAGGCTAAGGAAAACTGAAAGAAAAAAGAGACCAAATTGTCTTACTGATCTCAGCTGCTATAACGCTAAGATTGTGCCATTGTGATATCTCACGGTCAAGTGGCTTAGAAGTATAGATGGACCCATTTCCAGAATGAATATTAAATATCCTGTCAAGGTCAGTGTGACGATCCAGAGAAAACCTAGACATGATAAAGAAAGAAAAAATATTGTCAAAATTATAGGAAGTGGCAGAAAGCATGTTTCACAATAAGCCAATATCACTTTTAGGTTCTATACTGCATAATATATATGAAACTGTATAATAAATGCTTGTGAAAGTTCTCAAGGTTAGTTCCATAGAATCAGGAATAAAGATTGCAAGAATTTAATGAATATGATACACTAGTGTAATATTTTATCATCATATATGATGATTATAAAAAATAAGTCAGAATTGCAATATAATAATTAAAGAGTTGTTTTAATCCTGAAAAGAAAACTGTCTTTGATGTACTGTTCCTTCAGACTGACTGACAGCTAACTTAAGAGCTTTTTAAAAGCATTGTTATAAGCTTGGCTTCTACACTTTAGGATATTTTAATTTACTAGGGATCAAGTTAAAAGAAATCTCTATTAAAAAAAGTTCACATGCAGCTCTTCCACTTTCATTATGTTAAAGGACCTTCTATGTTGCTATAGTTGTGATACTTCTGCAGACAAAAATTCTACTAACACAATATGACAGAATGTCAAACTACAATCAGAAAATTGTTCTTTCCTCTATTTTTTCTAATATATAACACTGCCTTCAAAGCTAGGACTGTACCTTTGATGTGGAATTAAATGTAGGATTTTGCGAAGTGCAGAACATTTATCTAACTACCTGGCAGAATTGGGCCAAATTTAAAAAGAAAAAGTCTGCTAGTACACTTGTACAGTGCAATAGAAACAATTGCTCATGTTCATATGAGCTGTTGCGACTGATCTGAAGAGTTCATCAAGGATATCTGGTTTTACTTACAATACTTAACTGAGCCATATGAAAAACTGTAATATGAAAATAATGTCTAGAAAGTTTTGGTGGGTTTTATTTGCTCACTCCACCACACACAATAACATAAAAAACAAACAAAACCCCAACAAACAAGCCAACACCAAAATGAATACAAAACCAAAAAAGGATAGTAAAAGTCAAAAAAGATTTCTGAAAGTGCAGGAAAAACTTTCTCAAATTATTATTTTTTTTTTTACTACTAGCTGACTGTAACTGTTAGAATTGAACAAAAGTCTGCTATTTTCCACGGAAACTATGTTTCAGACTATTTGGCTTATATGATAAACATTTGATTCTACTCCATCCATGGAAGGAGGAAAATAACTTATTTTGACTTCTCTAGTTAATGAGACCTATTCCTCATTGTTTAATTAAAAATTTTATACCATTTGATAATAGCCATGAGGTAAGCACATACTTTTACCTCATTGCATTACTTCTAATTGCTAGCAAATGCTATCAGAATTATTATTTTCAGAAAATACCTCTGTATTCATTGAATAGAAATAGAAATTAGTGTAACAGGAAGCTATTGGCACTCAATTTATAGTGTAGTATTTTTAAATAAACAGATAAACAGAAAACAAATTTCAAAATTGATTTAATTCTACCACTCGAAGCTGTTATATTTTTTTAATAGCAGTATTAAAGTATTATAGAAACTGCCCTAATTTCAAAATATGACAGCTTTCAAAATCCTTTAGTTTAAATGTTAGCTGTTCACTTCTGGGGTAAACACATTTGCATTTAATATTGATATTGTAAGGAGTAAAAGCTTGTAAAAACTTACCCTAGGTAGTTATTGTTTGAATGTATATACAAGGTTGCTTTGGAAAGTGAGGAACAAAGCAAATACTGAAGAGAATTCAATCTGTGCTGTGCAAATTGTTTTAAATTTCTTGTCTTCAACTAGATAGCACTGAGTGAAAGCTAAAAGAAATGACTGTACTATGGAGACCATTATCACATACATGTTTGATTTCTTTTTTCTTCAAGCAAACTAAATCTAGTTTCAATGGTCCCTCTCAATTTTTTATAAATTTCTTTGTCCTTATTACTATTGCTTTGCTCCACCTGCCTCTTCTAAATTATTTTCTATGGGAGAATAAAAGAAACATCAATAGGACATAGAAAAATTATATAAAATAATGTTTAGGTTGCTACTCTATGTAAATAATAGTGATAAGGAAATACCTGCCACAGTTCTTCAATTCATCAAGTTATGTCAGAAACAAAATGAACAAAAGCTCCAAATTTGTTCTTTTTCCAGACATGATTAGGAAAATAACTACTAAACTTGTCAGTTGTCTCATGCAATTAGAGTCAATAAAGATGCAATGCTAAGTTATTTATATATTCTTAAATTTTAGAGGCTTAGTGTTATTTCCTATTTTTTTTTCCATGTACACAAATCACCATAGGGAAAAATTAGATTCAGTTTCATTTCCTAATCCAGTTTTACCACCTGGGCCTCATTAAGGAGTATGTGGCAATTGACTTCAAAGTCAGTAAATAAGGTTCTTTTGCCAGAATGTACTTTTTGTACTGTCTTCAGTATTTCAGACAACACACATCCAACTTGGACAGTGTTCTTACCTGTTACTTAAAGCTTATGCATTTTAGTAAAACAAACAAAAAAAAACCCCTCACACCAAAATATGGTTTACTACATTCGGCTAGGTGCAATGTAGGATGTAGCATTTAGTAGTATACATACAAAAGATGTTTTAAGATATTAATCTTTCAGTGTCTAATTTCTTGGGATATTTGAGCACACACAAAGATAATTTTATCCTGTATAGCAATCATTCTGGCAAGCCTACAAAGCAGAAGGCACCAATCAGAGCAGATGAGATTGGCATCAGGATGGACCAGAGGAAGCATTAGAAAGCTCTGTCCCCTTCCTGGGCCATAGACTGGTTTGGCACTTTTTCACAGTGTGAAGCAAGAAGTAGTCCTGAAAAACCTACTTGAAATCAATGTGTAATATTGGAAGTTTTCTGAGGTTTGAAGTACTAGAAAGCATTTCCTTTGTCTCTTGTGTGCAAGTGAATGGCTGTTTCATGAGGTCTTCAGAGGGTTATGGATAGCATCATTCTCTATTCTGTCTATCTCTGGGACACTAATAAATAACAGAAAAAAACATTAGCATTTTCTTCCTATGCACGATGTGTACATGAAAATTCATGTTGTATTATTATTTCTCTTAATTTCTTTAGCAAATTATGTCTTTACAGAGACTGGAGTATTACCTGATCGGACTTGCAGCTGAATCAGGATCCCGTGCCATTACCGTTCCTATTATTGTCCCCAACTCAATATCTTCATGCACCTCAAAAAGGTAAGATGATCTGCTGAAGACAGGAGGTTCATCTACATCTTCTACAGAGATTTTCACAATAGTGGTATCTTTGAAAGGCCCAAGATAATAGAAGCGTGGATCCACATGGGTATTCTCAGCTTCTACTTTCAAGGTATAAAGTCGTCTTGTTTCATAGTCCAGTGGCTAAAGATGAAGATGATAAAGTTTATTAAATTACATTGTATGTTGACAGTTATTGACCTATACACATAATGTAAACTGAAAAGGACTCAAGCCTTGTCAGATCTTGTCCTGGGTTGGGCGAACCCCAAAGTTCAAATTCTCCACAGGATAGGGAGAATTTTCTCTTGTGAGAAATTTCCATTATTTTTAAAGGAAGTTTCTTTTCCTAAATGTTATTTGAATTATCATAGTAACAATGCCAAAAAGATTTTCAGTGCAAATTTGCCAGTTTTTTAGTGAATTTTGCAGCTGCTTAACAAAAATACAGATTTGAAACAATCATATAAGCATTTGAAATACTGGCATTTCAGAACAAGGTACTTAATACTAATGTTTCTCAGGAAATACTATAAACTCTTGGGTACTCAAAATAGCCAGAGTTATCTTTATTGTCAAACAAATGTAGCTGACCTTAAATATCACAAAAGTTTTAAGTTTCTTTTAAGGAGGGTTTGTGTGTCAAAGTTCTCTATATCTAGAGGAACACTAAGAGCTTAATCTTGTTCCTTTTAATTTAATTTAATTTAATGAATCAGAGATTTTTTATTTTTTTTTGCAAAATAGATTTGACATTTTTGTCAGCAGTTCCTTATTAAAATGGAAGGAGGAAGGTTCAGGGTTATAATTAGAAACCATTTTGGAAGGAAAAAGAACCTCTATTCCTTCAAATTTTCTGTCATAGTCGAAAAGTGTTAGCTAATTAATGATACTGAGGAAATGAGCAAGCTGAGAATTTACCTTTCTGACACAAAGAAGACTTCATTAACTCCCCCAAAATCTCAGGGAAATATCAAACTGGTGGTTTTCATTCATCAAAATGGGTGGTAGACAACTTGTTTTTTCTGTGTAACTGCTTTTAAATACAAATTAATGTTCATGACAGATGCCAAAGTGACAGCCTAGAAATTTAAATATTCTATTTAAGAGGAGAAAGATGCAGTCCATTGAAAAAATGAGCTGCTCCACTGCCTCAAACTTGTTTTTAAAAAGTATTTAGAGCAGAAGGGAGAATATCTATTAATATAATTGAGAAATGCAACACAGTGCTGCTATTCAAGCTAGATCTGTGACTGCTGGTGTGTCTATAAAGTGCAGCATGCTGCTGTTAAGGGATACTGGCTTCAAGCCTAGAAGCAAAGAAGTTATGTTAGTCCTGCTTTATTCTAATTAGCTGGCTTAATTTGCCAGAAGGTGTGACATGCACATGTAGTTAACTTGCTACTAGTACATTCACATCCAGTTTGGACATCTCTTCAGGCTATGTGGCAAAACGTGGATATAAAGTGTGTTGATTATACAGGTATTATCAACATATATCACATGTAACGAACCAAAATGTTGCCCAAATATATGAAATCGTGGCAAAGCAATTTTTTTGTCTGCGAGAACTTGTCTAGAAAATCTTGTACAGAAAGAAGTTCTTTTACAGCAGGTATTAAATTCAGACTTAGTAACTTATGGGCTTATTAAAGGAACACCAGCTATTTGTAGTTGTTCACCAGTGAAAACTGAAATGACAATCAATGTGGCTAAATAATAAAAATTAATATTTTAATAAATTAACGAACTAACATATCTTCTTCCTTTCTAGTTACTGCTGTTGTCTGAGCTATCTGAATAAGCTACTTATTTATCAATATGAGAAATTATCCTGAAAATTTCAAAATGAGTCAGATTGCTAATGACAAAATGAGATCTTGTTCATTAGCATTTATTGGTGACAGTTTTGGAGCTGCTGTGTTATAACTTATACATTTTTTATGCTTGATCCAGTTAAACTGTTTTTTCAAGACTGATTTAATGTAATAGTCAGTGTGAAAAATCTGGAGCAAGCAAGAAAGGAGCAACTCAAGAGAAGCCTTCACAGATTTCTAGGAAAAGGGAAAATATCGAGCCCCAAACTTTGTATTTTAATTCCTTCCCAGATAAACTACATTGCTGACTATGAACATAGAGATTAAAAAGGAACACGCTTTGATCTTTGCAGAACATATCTTTTTCTTTGTTGCCTTTATCAAGAGATGTGGAGATATATTTTATAGTGGTGTTTAATTCATTATTCTATGCTTAAAGAGATTTGTTTAAAAAGCTAATACAAGCAGTGCTTTATGTTAGAAATGCTGCCTGAACTCTATAGAAAAGCATCTCAATATCCCAAAGAAAAGGATTGAGAGACTTTGGAAGGGAAATTGTTGAGGAGCAGGAGAATGGCATTTCTAAGCGTGAGATCTTACACCTCTGAAAGTGCTCTGACTTGCAAGACAGAGGGAAGAACTAAAGCTAGCTCTGAAACAGGGACAAAATCATTATTTACTGCTCCCATGCTAACCAGCTGACGTGTTGGGAACAGGAACAAACCAACATAGCTTGTGACTGAGCTTCCATGAGTGCGTTTGTGTTCTGGCATACACTGGTGATCAAAGTTGAAAAGAATCTTCTAGATAAACGTCTCTCAGTAGTGAGTGAACTGCATAGTTCTTGCTGAAGGTAAAAGGTTACATGAATACTAAATAAGTCTGTGTTTGCAGTCACAGAGATAATTAGTACTAACACATTGCGGATGGTCCATTTTTTACATACTTAGTTGGCAGAAATGCTTTAAACCTGTGCTGCACCTCAGATATTGTTACCAACTGTTATTTCCAGTTCGTCTTAAAAGGAAATAGTACTGTTCAGTCACTGATGGGGGGTGCTTGCAAGTGTTAAGCAGTTAGAATATGTCATCACATGATCTAAGCACTTTTTCCCAATGAACATTTCTGGCATAACATTCACACCAAAAATTGTTTAGTGAATATTGTGAATAGACACCTTTCGCACAGTTATGATGCCTTCCTGTGTGTCCTTCTGTGTCACAATATCAAACATATCTGTCCCATCTCCATCTATAATTCTGTACTCTACTTCTGCATTTTTTCCAGTGTCTGCATCTGTGGCTTTGACGCTGCCAATGGCTGTCCCAACTGGGGAGGACTCAGGGATGCGGAGGTGGATGGTACCTGTCGAAGAGACAAGAAGCCACTCAGGAACCCCACAAGCCACAACACAAGCATTAAGTAACATGGTGTAACACAATAGATGATTACATATTTTTGTGTTTGCATATTTATTCTACAGAACTTGCCATTTAATACTGGGACGATGGGCAAAACGTGAAGCAGAGAACTATACAGGGGAAAACTTTAGGTAGAAGATTGAAAACAAAATAATAGAAAAACAAAATCATAGAAAAGTAGGATTGAAAAGGACCTCTATTCTCCTATCAAAGAAAAATCAACTATGTCTGTACTTTTCTTGTCTACATCATTCCTGAAACATCATCTGGAAAGACTGCTCTGTGTTCTTTTCAGGCTTCACTCTGCTTTTTTGCCCTTAAATTCTAAGGTGAATCTTTTGGGATATATTTTACATCTATTTTGTCATGGAAGCAACAAAAAGAACAGAATTCCCTGACTTCACTAGTCAATTCTAAGCAGCAAATTGACATTTCAGCTTTCAAAATTAGGTAGTCAGATACAATATTAAATAAATTTGAATGACATTTTAATGCAGGGATAGGTTTTTGAAAATCCACAAGCAGAAGGTGTGTCTATATCTGTTAAAGCAGTTAATTAATATTTAAATAAGGCTTATGAACATTGGAATTTTGGTTTTGTGCTACTTTTCCTAGCTCAGTTTTATCCCTTTATTGTGGTGTCATACAGCTGATAAAAACCATAGGAATAAAACTGTCATCATTCAGACATGCTGCAGTAAAATGAAAGAAATATCTTACCATACATTTTAGTATTCTATGTCCTAGCCTTACTGTGAAAACTGTAAATAAATGTTGAGATCTCTGGTCCCATCTGTCAGAACATACAGTAGAAAAAAACATGCGGGACACATAAAGCACTATGAAGAATTCTCAGAAAAATATTTTTAAATGAATGCAGACACAGTTGTCATTCCAGAGATGAAAGTTATGTCATCAAAGATCTATTGAAAAACATTTTCCTCTCTGGCCTTAGTTAAGTGTTCCAAGATTTGCTGTTTTACTTAGAGACTTCCTAAGGTAAGTAAAGTGAGGCAGAAAGATAGTTCAGTTAACAGTAACACCGCAGTGGAAGTAGTAAAGGCCAGCAACCACAACAGGAAAAAGCTGAACAGGCTGCCCAAAAGGCACCACATATATACCTCATTGCAAATAACAAATACAGAAAAGTCTATACATGGAATTCATAGTTTTGTATGATCAGGAAGAATCATGGGAAGAGGGCAGTGGCAAGGTGGTACAGGAAGGACACTGGCAACATGATCTTACCATATCTTCAGAAAACACAAGTGAGTTGTAAGGATTATCAGTGTCTCTTAATAGACAATATTACAAGGCAGCTACAGAGTGACAAAGGAATTGGTTTTGGGAACACTCACTGAAAAAAACCCCTCTATTATTCATTGGGACGTTTGAGACTTTCTCTCATTTTAGAGAACTAGTTTTTTTCTGTTCTGTTATGTTATAGTTTGCCAAACCTAAAAAAAAAAAAAAAAGGGGGCAAAAATTTTTAAAAACCCAACATTCACATATAGTTTGTAATTAAATGTTGAATGAAAAAATACTGAAATTTAATGTCTTCATATCATTTTACTCAGGGAGCTTTTGATATGAAGCTGATACACAGCAGCAGAATTAATACTTTATGGCCATATACACTCCGCATTCTATTTATATTAATTTATTTTTGCTCAGTTACATTTTGGTGTTTCAATCAAGTGATTTATTTTGCATTTGCTCTGACATTTTCATTACCTTTCTCTAATGCCTAAATCTATGTACTTTGCTACATTAGTATATAATCTCTCTGTAATCGCCTAATGGTTAAAAAAAAAAAAAAAAAGAAAAAAAAAAGAAAAAATAGCCTCTGCTCCCATTTAGTATTTATTCAGTACTATGCAAGACTATGGTGAAAGACCACTTTTTTCCCCAATTAATATTTATATATTATAATTAGTTTTACAGTGTGTCAACTACTCCCCACATTTTTTTCTGGAGTGCATAAAACTACATCCCCAAGCTATGCCTTGTGGACACTATTTTGACTTCCACTGCAATACCCAAGTCATTAATTTAGTCTACAAAGTGGTAAGAGCTATATCTTGAATTGCTAATAAGGTAGTGGAAACTGAGAGTGAAAATAACCAGAAATCTATCATCTGGAAGAGAATTTTATGTCTAACCTATCAATTCATAGAAATCTTCACCACAGCCTAAGACATTTTGGTTTATTATTTTTATCACTGAAGATGTTTAATTCATTGACTAAGTACAGGATGCAGTGCAGCTTTAGACACTGTCAGAACATAAACTACACCAAACTAGAATTATTCTTGCAAAAATCTACTGTCTATCCTTTTTCTCTCACTTCTCTTCTTCCTCAGGGAGAGTAATTTACTGTTTGCGTTTACTCTAGTGAGTGATGTTCTTTCATTTGTCTGTCAGGAATAAAAACAGGAGGATCGAGGAAAGAAAAGGTTTTTCCATTTACTAAGGAAATCTGAAAGATTAACATCTACACACTTGTGTCTGGAAATACTTCAGTTACTCATAAAGAATGAAAAAGCAATCATCTTACTCATGTTTACCCTTTTTCCCAGTTACTCTTGAATATGCACATAATGTAATCATTTTTATAGAATAATACAGGCTATAGTCTCACAGGAGCCATGGGCTGCTGTAACTCATATGCCCTGATTTTCAGTCAGACTCAGGCTCCTAAGTCCATAAAACACTTTTTCTATTTATCATTGGTCAACAGCATCACTTTACTTCTGAGAACACTTGGAAATACTAAAGCTGAAACAGAGGTCCCATATCTGAGGTCTTTGATAGCCTTTCTATGCAGAACCTTGGTAACATTTTAAATATTATCATGTTTCCTCAGAAGAACAGTCACTGTTGAGTGTGTAGTTTTCAGGAGATTTTTAAGAGAGAAAAATACTCTGAAGAGTCCTTGCTCTGTAATCTGAACTACAGAGGAATTGCTGTCTCTTCTGTTGTTTTTTGGGGTTTTTTTTTTTGAAAAAGTATGATAAAACACAATATGTGGAATTTTTCACAATTCTCATATGAGTTTCTTGTGGGAGAAGTTTAATCTACTGTGAAACATTTTATTGAAATGTAGCTGTAATATGCTACTGAGTCCTGGGAAAACATAATGGAACTTTAAATATTTTTTCCTGGTAATTTATAAATCTGATATGAATATGGTTGTCTCATGAACCTTATACACATCTGTTTTTTTATTGGTGGAACAGAATAAGAATAATTTAACTCAATCAGTATCGATTCCAGTAGTCTTATTAAACTCTATTAAAATTGGGAATCATTATAACACCTATTTGCTTTTTGAGATTAAATACAAAGATTTTTTAAAAAGTCAATAGCTATTTTTACTTTCATTTATCTAGTAAAATGACTTAGCTTTATAAATGTTTTATCTTTCATTTCCAGTGAAACATACATTTATATCTAGCAAAGCTTTTGGCAAAAAGAAGGTAGAGATAAAAACAAAACAAAGCAACAAAAAACACCCCCATGAAAGTAAGACTAAAAATTTCTGTAAAGCAAAAGTCACATCTGATTTACACTGACATTAACAGAAAAATGCAGAGATATTTCTGGAATGCTACATTAGATCCTCATTTGTCTGAAATATGATGTTGAACTGCCAGATAAATAATGTAAAAAACGGTCTGGAAAGTTCATTCCATCATTCTAAGTATTAATTTAACACACTGTTTAAGAAATAAGGAAAAAAAAA